AGACAAGGAGAAAGACTGAATGAGATTTGAAGCATAAAGCAAAACAAGCACCAGTCGAGGAAATAAGAGGTTAGGATTTGACACCATCGCCACCCTTCCGTGTCCCCACTCCTGCCCAGGTGGGCCTGTGTCCCCTGCCCCAAATCTCTTCACCTCTGCTCCCCCCAGTTATTCTTCCTTCCTTTCTTCTTGCAAGTGGGCCTGGAAGTGAATGAGGTGTTTGGGTGACAAGGAAAGCAATATCCTCTGCAGGTGCATGTGTCTGACAGCATGTGGCTGTCGCGGTGCTCTCCTACCTCTGAACACTTCAAATTCCTGTGCCTCGCGGGGTTGTCTCATTATTCCCTTTTCCCCCCACAGAGGAAACAGGCTGCATGGAATCAAATGCTGCCTCAAGGTCACAGAGCCAGGAAGCGGCTGGGCTCAGACTTCAGCTCAGGCCCTAGATGATGAGGCTGAACAGCTTTGAAGGTTTCTCAGCCCCTTAATAGGTTACCTCTCCCAGGAGTATTTGTATTTAAAAGAGAACTAAGAATAGAGGAAAACGTAAAATCCAAAGGAATGAGTTGTGAATGGTAAAACGTCCGATTCCAAAGTGTGGACACAGGTGCTGCACCGGCATGGGGGCTGGAGGGCTGCGGTGGTCCCAGGAGAGTCTCTGCATACAGGTTTTCAAGACCAAGCCCATCTGGGTTTAAATCTCTTCCAGTCTGCTTACTAGCCTGGGAATCCTGAGCCTGCTGTTCCTCTGTTCTGAGCCTATTTCCTAATCTGTGCGATGGGGATGATAATCCCACCTCCAAAGGCTGAGGAGGGACTGACCCGAGGGGAACGGGGCTCACAGTGAGTGTCTGCAAACATTACTACGTGGAATGCCAAAGGCACAGGGCCGTTCACAGCTGGCCTTGGCAGGAGTGGCATGCAGAATGGAAGCCTGGTGTCATTCTGGCCCTGCAGAGGAAGGGAGGGGGGACAGGATGTGGTGGCCCCAGGTCTGCTGCTCCAGGCCCATCTGTGTGCCCAGCTCTGGGCTGGAGCGGGCTCTCTTTGTGCGCACGACTCAGCCATTAGGAGGGAGCCTCGGTCGGAAGGGCTGGGGTACCTGTGACTCCTCTGCAGTCCTCCTCTCCTTCGCGTCTCCCCCCACCTCCTAGGAAAGATTTATGGAAAGATTAAGGGCCTTTTTTTTCAATATCTATTAATATTCATGGCAGTCTTCACAGCCATCTGCTTTTAACGATTTTGTTTGCAAAGACCTGAGATTAAAATATGGCCTGCTAGTGCTCTGAAGCATCTGAACTGAAGGCGATAAAACAAAGGCCTTTTCAGGAGTTCCAGAGCCAGGCTGTCACTCTACCTGCAGTGGGGGAGACTAATGACTACCGGGAGGGAGGGGGTGGCCCAGCGAGCATTCAGACCTGGCTGAGATTGGATCCTGGGCCACTGCTCTCCCCAGGCCCAGCAGGGTAAATTGGGGGAGAATGAACAGCCCCAGCTCCCTCCCCACCACCCTGCACAAGAGCCCTGGGATGAGGGATTTATCTAGGGCAGGGGGAAGATGCAGGGCTCTGAAGACTCTGAAACCCTGGAATCAGTGCCCTGGTGAGAGGGCTGTGCACACTGGAGATATCCAGGGGTCTGGAAAGGGCTGGGGAGCCCCTGGCTAGGGTGCTGTGGCCCATACCCTCTCGCATGGCACAATAGTCCAGAGTGCAATCTAAAGCCCAGACTTCCAAAGCTAGCCACCTCCGCACAGCTCTGCCTTAATTGGAGCCTCCACTTGGCCACTGTTATCTGGGGGTGCCCTTGCTAAGCTGGTGTTCCTCTTTGGGCTGCATCTGGGCTAGAAGCTTTCAGTGAGCTCCTCAGAGGTGGCTTGGGGACAAAGGAGAGTGCCACTTGCTGTGTGGATGTGCTGAGGTTTCCCTAAACACCCGTGGGGTACTTTCCTAGCCTTGGCACTGATCCTGAACAGGCCCCAGGCCTCCCCCAGAGCAGCCCTGGTCTTTCTGCTTGATATGGAAGCTCTACCTAAGAGCTTCTGGACTGGAGTTGAAGGCCCCACTCTGGGGAATGTTTGCAAACATCAAGATTTGAGTGTCTTCTCCCTTTCCCTCTCTGTCCCTCCTTGGTACAGAGTACACACTTCCAAAGCATCTTCAGTGGGGCAACACCTGGTCCCCAGAGTGGGCTATGGGGTTCCACGGGTCTGCCCTGCCTCCTCCCATGCCAGCAGGGTCCCCAGAGTCCAGGCCTCAAGTTCCCCATCCCACGGATGTCAAGGTCACCAGCTTTGTCCCCTTGCTCCAGAAGATCCAAACCTACCCAGGAAACGCCCCAGCTGCTCGACACAGGAGAGAATTTCACCAGATCTCCCCAGGGCACTCAGGAAAAGGGACAGGATTCTGGGTTTCAAATCTCACAATCAGAAGATGCCCCCTCACCCCTCTCCCTCCAGCACATGGAGTCCTCTCAGGAGTGTGGTGGGGCAGCAGACCCCCTGCAGTGGCTCCCATTGCCTAGAAACCTAAATACTGTCCTCTGCTAGGCTTTCGAGGGACCTAGTCAGCCCACCGAGTACCCACAGTCCTATAAAAGGGTTGGCCACACTTTGCCCACCTCAGGACCCCACCTCAGGACCCCCACCTCACCCTCAAAGCTGTGTAGATCCAGGTCTAAGCAGGTTCCATGAGGATCTTCTCCCCATAGAACCCTGATCATTCAGTCCAGGCCATGCCAAGCTGAGAGGGGATGGCCATTTTTCTTCATGAACCAGCCAACCTCAAGGAAAAAGGAGATTGAAAAAGATGGGACAAGAAAACCAGAGGTGAGAGGTCACCTGGATCTCCCTGGGCCATGCTGGTCCTGAAGGCCAGCTATACCTCCTGCCCTGGTGCCCCTAGGGACAACCCCTGGGGCCTTCCTATACCTCCCTACCTCAGCCAGAGCTACTTAGAATGTGTTTGTTTCTTAAAACTAAAGAAAACCAAGTCTAAGTCCAAGGCCTCCAAGTATCCTCACCTGCATAGCCTTGCCCTTCTAGGTCTCCTGTCCCTCTGGGCTGCAGAAGGAATCCCCCCCCGCCCCGCTGGGAGTGGGGGGTCCTGAACACATCCTAGGCTCCCGCCCTGACCTGGGCTGTGCCCTAGGCCTAGAAGGTCCACCCTCCTGCTCCACAAAGGCCTGGCTTAGTTCACGCACACTGCCCCCTCCCCCCAAACAAGAGGCCAGTTCTTCCTGGGTACCCAGAGGCTGCGGCATCTTCCTTGAGCCAGTGTCCACCTCTCCAGGGTCCTCTGTAATAAGGGGTCTGAGGTTGGAGTGAGCAGAACATGGATTCCTATTCTTTACCCTCAGGCTCAAAGCCCTGCAGCTCCTGGCTTGGCGGTCAGTCAACTTGTATCCAAAAATTTCATTTTGCTTCAAAACGAATCCCCTGCCCCATTCATTGGGTGTTTCTCTGATATGCCAAAGTTTTTGTTTACCCTCATGAAGATCCTAGAATAATGTCATGAGATGGGCCTTTAGCAGGTTCAACTCTCCCATTTTACGGCTGGAGAGGCTGAGGCAGAACCAGATGCTGGGTCTCCTGATCCCATTGGGCCAGGGCCATTACCAGCCCATGCTCCTGAGCATCTGAGGCACCCCCTCTGACCCTTCATCACAGAGGAGCATGGTGCACCCCGAGGTATATTTTGACGTTTTTTTGCCATGAATTGCATCTCTGCTAACATGCTGCCAGGTCACTAAGGAGTCAAGGGTCACTGCACTGAAATGGAATTTAACCTTAAAAAGTTCATCCACAAAAGCTATTTAGGGGACACAAGTAAAGAAAAGTGTATGCACACCTGTGCGTGCAACTGTGAACATATGAATGAGTGAGTGTGGTGCCATGTGTGAATGAGTATGTGTGAGCATGTCATTGAGTGACAGTGGGGGTTGGGGGGGGGAGGTGGCACGTCCTATTGTCACTTGGCATAAACTCTTCCCTAGCCTCCCTGGCACCAGGCACCGAGGTCCACTGCACCTGCTTCTTGGGGGCCTTCCTCCACCTGATGACAGTACTCACCAGACCACCCTTGCAGAGCCCCAGCTTCTCCAGGGAAGCTCCACCCTGCCCCCCAGAATGAAACCCAAAGTCTATCACCACTACAGTAGGTCCTGCCTACCTTTCCAGAAGCTTCTCCCACCCAATTCTCCTCCTGATGTGTCACTATTCATGGGGCATTCGTGTCCTGCTGTGTTCTAAACCTTTGCTGTCTTCTCCATCTGGGGTGTATCTACCTTTCCTTCAACCAAACTCAAATACCACTTCTTCCATGAATCCTTCCTGTAAATGCCAGGCCACTATACGCAAAGTCAGCCACTCTAGACACCTTTAAAGAACAGCTAGCATCTGTAGAACATTCCACCTGTGTTACCTCATTGACCTCATTCCGTGTAGGATGTCCTATTGCTATCCTCAATTTACAGGTAAGGAGCCTAGAGAGGTTGGATGACTTGCCCAAGGTCACACAGCTACCCAGTGAGAGTACCAGGATTCAAAGCCAGGCAGACAGACCCCAAGGCCTGTGCTCTTGCTCACTTGCGCACACCAATGCAGAGTGACACAAATGGGAACAGAAGACCAACGAATGTACACTTGCGTTTCTTCCCTGCTACCTTGGGAGGAACTCCTTACAGACCCATACCTCCCGCACCTACCCGGCACCAAGTGGGGGCAAGGAAGGTTCTGGATCATCCAATGAAGGAAGACATACATGGGGCAGGGGTAGGTTGTTATGAAAGTGTGTGTCTGTGACGTGTGTGTGTCACGTGAAGGAGTTTGTGTAGCAGAGGGTGTTTGCACACGCCTGTGCGCGGGGCTTGTGTGTGTATGGCATTCTGAGATGCTCTTGGGGTCCGGGTGGGTAGGGCCTGATCTCAGTCGCATGAATAGTTAAAGCCCTTAAACTGTGCCGCTTCATCACCGATATTTTTACAAAGTTGTCACAGAGAAATATCATTTTTCTTCCTCCTTTATTTCATTTTCTTTGGGATATAGTAATTAACAAAAGCCGTTAGATGCCAGCAAAACTGTTTCTTTTGAAGTTTCTACATGGCTGTCACCCGGGAGATAAAGGCAGATTATTCAATCTTGACATGATAATTGTGGATGCCAGATAAAAGTCTGGATTAGACACTTCACAGCCCCGCGCGGAGGGGAGGGTGAGATCAGCAGGAGGCGAGTCTCCCCCGCAGTTGGGGGACACAGGGTGGGAAGGGGGCTCCACCCCCAGGGGCGGGGCTGCTTGCCACATGGCTTGGCTTCTTTCATTTTGAGTTGGACAGTCCCCAAATCACGTGCTGGATGGAAAGGAAGAGCATTCCATACTGAGGTGGAACAATCTAGACGCCAGGGGCAGACTCCCCAGCTATGGCTCCTGCCCCCTGACTTGATTGGCAGGAGCTGCTGGCTCCCTGACTGGATGCCAAGGTCCTAAAGGCAGGAGGGATGGGATCTTCTTAGGGGGTCTCCACCCCTTAGTGGAGCACAGCATGTGTCTCTGAAGGGATGAGCCTGAGTTCTGGTCCTGACTGACTCTCCCTGGGCTTTGCCGAAGGCCAGAGAGGGCCAGGACTAGGGGGAAAGTCACATCTGCCAAAAAGCAGCGTCACCTCCTCACCAGGACAAGGATCCAACCAGGGAGAGCAGGGCCAATGGAGGGCAGAAAGGGCCAGAACTGAGCCACCCTGGAGAGTATGCTCCTCAAAAGACTGGAAGCTTCTACTAGGTCAGGACTGGTTCTGTTTGATTTCTGGGTCAATCCTCAACAAACAGTGACCTTGAAATTCAGTTTATCTAAACTAAATCAGGAACTGACTGGTGTTCTCCGCACCTAGCCCACCCTCAAACAAGCAGCTTGCCATTCACTGTTGAGTAATGATAATATTAATGACGTTGCACGCTATCAGTCAGGGTCCAATTGAACCCACAAACTGCTCTGGGTATTTAGGACAGAGAATCAGCCCAAGGACTGAGATGACACAGAGGAAAAAAGATCAGCAAGACGCTCCAGGGCCCAGCACCAGTTACAGCCCACAGGGAGGAAGGGAGGAGCCAGCCAGCCTTGAACCTCAGTGGGTCACAGGAGATGCGGGCACTGCCAGAGACAAGGGTTCCAGCAGAGAGGGGCCTCTCCTTACATCTTACAGAAGCCTGGAAAACACAGTCCTAGGGCCAGTCGCCTAATGGACATGGGCAGGGCGAGGACTGGATCTGAGGACACATCACCCACAGGCTGGCGTCCTTGTGAACATGAATTCCAGTTTCTCCTGCAAAAGATAACATAGGGCCTGCCTTCCCTTGCAGCAGCAAACATCTGGGACAGCAGGGACTGTTCCTTTCCAACAGGGTGTGCTCCTGTCCACCTCTTCACAGGTCCCATGGGGCCTGCCTAATGTATGAATGGTACCTGAAGATACCGGATTTGCAGTCCTTGGTCCAAATCAATGTACCCATTTTGTAACAGAAGAAGGCAAGGCCCATCTAGGAGAAGTGATTTACCCAAAGTTATAGGATCATCAGGATCAGAGGCGAGACCGGAAGCTCAAGCCCCTGGCTTACATTTCCTAGTGCTCAATAGATGAGCCTTGTCAGGACTCCCAACAGGAGAGACCCAGTGGTGGCAATGAGGACAGCAGCTGGTGACCACTCCATTGTTGTGCGGCCCTAGCAAAGTACCCCCCCCCTGGTGCTCTAGGGAGCTTGGAGCGGACACCCAGAGCCTTCCCCATTCTTCCAGGCTGGGCTTCTGCTTCCTGGGCAGAGGTGGGAGGAAACCGGCCCCCTGGAGAAGCCAGCTGAGTGCACAAGGGTCCTTAGACAGGAAGGTCGAGGGGGAGACGCTGGGAAACATAAATCTGCCTGCACGGCTCTCTCCGAAAGGGTTTTAATTAATTGTTTTTATACGACATAAGAGCAACTCATTACCGAGCAGCTTTGATTTGTGACACCTGCGTTATAGATGATTTTTAAATTAACATTTCCCCAATAAAAGGTGTCAGTAGAGAGCTGAAGGCGCCCAGAGAAGTATAAAAGGATAATAATATGAAAATACAAATAAACACCAGCCCAGCCTAACAAAGGGGGCTGCTTAATCAATTTTACAATTAATTAAGGCTGGCTGGGATAGCGGGGGCCCTGGAGGCAGTTCGAGGGACGGGGCTGAGGCTCAGGCATCCAATGCTAGGGCGAGTGAAAGCTTTTGAGGCTTAGGGGAGAAACGCAGCGAGAATGTGAGACGTTCTGCTAGGCTTCCCCTGGAGGGGAGGGACGGACGCAGGAGGCAAATCTGTCCTCGTGAGCATGCTTTCTCTCTTTGTTGTCCTGGGATTTGTTATTTATTTATTTAGTAAGTATTTATAGAGCTGCTGTGATGTGTCCCAGGCAGCAGTCAGCCCAGACAAAGACACCACCGTGACCCCGAGGGTCTGGTCCAGAAAGAATGAAGGGGAAATGCCGGCCATGGTGGTGTACACCTGTAATCCCAGAGGCTCGGGAGGCTGACGCAGGAGGATTGTGAGTTCAAAGCCAGACCCAGCAACTTAGTGAGGCGCTAAGCAATCCAGTGAGACCCTGTCTCTAAGTAAAATATGAAAAAGGGCTGGAGATGTGACTCTGTGGTTAAATGTCCTGGGTTCAGTCCCTGGTACAATTAAAAAAAAAAAAAAAAGAAGAAGAAGAAAGGGGAAGAGATTCCAGAGGGAACTAGCCAGGTAGGCAGGGGCTAGACTTTAGCAGCCTCTGCAGAATGCAACACAGCATGTGGAGTGGTTTTCAGATCCCATTTGAAGAGTGCAAGGGAGCCACGTGACACGGTTCCCATTTCAGATAAATGCCCCTGGCTGCAAAATGGATGACACAGTGGAGAAGTGGAGGGAGGGAAGAGAAGCCAATGGATTGAGTTCGGAGAGAAGAGGCAGGGGAGAGAAACAGGGCTCCAAGGAGACTGGAAAGGGAGAGCCCACTACAGGCTTCCCTGCTGGTGCCTTTGGGGAGGCGGAGTAACACTGGAGAGGTAGCTGTAAACAGCACCCAGACACGGCTCCTGCCCTCAGGGGTCTTCCACTCTGGTCAAGAGAAACAGGAAGTAGATCCTAAATGAATGAGCAAAGAACTGCAGAGAGCACTCATGGGTGAAGAGATCAAATCAGATGCTGTGGGCAGAGCAGTTTGGGATAGGGCTATCAGGAATAGTGTCGCTGAGGAGGGGACATTGGAAGTAAGACCTGAAGAATGGAGGAGCCAGCCAGGCTGACCTCTGGGGAATGGACTGTCCAGGAACACATCTAGCAACTGCAAAGACCCTGAGGTTGGGGTGAGCAGAAGGTGCCAGATCTGCCCTAGTCCTCCAGGTGTCTCTTTGTTCTGAATTTTGTCTTAGCTTTTCCTCAGGTTGACCAAGAGGGGTCTACCTCATTGAGTCACAGAACATGGAGAAAAGCCTCCTGGGCTCCATCCTAAGTCTCCCAGGCTCTCTGCACTCTCTGGCTGAGAGCTCTGATCCCTACAGGGGCCGTCTCCACTGGATACCAGCTCCACCCCATCTTTGTTGCTACCCCAGGCCTCTTTCCTTGACTCCAGGGAAATTCAGTTACCTCCCGGGCAATTGCCTTCCTCCCCAATCCCCTTCTTCCTCTGTGTTTCCAACCTCAAAGAAAGGTGCCGCCATCCATCCAGCTGCTGGACTTCAGCAGCTTCTGCAGAATGCAGCGCAGCACTTGGAGTGGTTTCCAGATCCCACTGGATCTGAAAGGACAGATGTGCCCTCTCCTCAAAAGCCACATCTTGGTGGCTGCTCTTCCTTACTGTGTTGCTACCCTCTGCACTCCATGTCACCCATTTCCCCCGCCTGCACATCTTCCCTGAGTGACCGGGACAGTCCCCTCTCCCATCATCCTTTGTGAGCCAGAGGGACCCTTCTAAAATGAAAATCCACCCCACTGTACAGCAGCCAGGTCAACTGTGGGGGCTTCCCTTGTCCTGGGGCCAATGGCACACACTGTCACCATGATGTCCAGGTTTCTAGAGTCCAGCCCTGCCCCCTCCAGGGGCCTCTCCTTGTCCACCCCCATGCCTCGCAGTCCAGACTCAGGGCCCTCCCTTCAGCTTCCCAGACTCACCTTGCCTCTCTTACCTGTCTTCTCTTAGGAGAGAAGCTCCAGGTTCTTCTTCACAGAACATTCTGGTGCTCTGCCGTTGCCGCCCCACCCACCCCACTGCTCTCTGGACACCCTCATCTTTGAAGCCCAGGCCACATCCTCCTGTAATTGCTTAACTGTGCCCCTCCCCCTCCCCCCCCGCCCCACTGGGAGTAAGGTCCATGGGCCAGCAACTATTTCTGTCCTGTCCCATCTGTGTTCCCAGCACCTGGTGGGTGGACCACATGTGCCAAATGAATAGGAACATGGATGAATTAGTGGATGAGCCATGATGTCACGTCACACGATGTGCCTAGGAGTTTAAATATGTAACGAGACAACAAGGGCATCATTAACTTAGCATAGATTTTAGCAGCCAGCCCACATCTTCACATGTCCCCTGATAAAGTCGCTCTCCCAGGATGGACTTTGGCACAGGGTTGGCATGGTGATGGGAGCTGCAGTTGGAATGGAGCATCGCCCGCTTTCCCAAGGCCATCAGAGGCCCAGGAGCAGGCCTCACAGCCTGTGGACTGGCTGCTTGCCCCCTCCTTATCACCCGAATGCCCCAAAGAACATAGCTCATCACGGGGGCCTGCCAGGCTGGCCCTGCAACAGGACTGCACCCCACACTTACAGGGGGAGGGGCTGAATGGCAGGACCCAGTGAGACAAGTGACTGTATGATGGCCTGTCCAAGCAAGGACATGGCAAGGACAGTGTCGGGACCTGGATCTCAGTAAGTACAGTCAGGGTTGCCAGCAGAGCTATGACACTCTCTGTGTGTGTGTGTGTGTGTGTGTGTGTGTGTGTGTGTGTGTCCCTCCCAGAGCTAAGGGTGGGGTGAGGGTGAGGGTTAGAAAAGCCACCTGAGTGGTTGTAGGAATTCTACCTCCAGCAACCACCCTGGAAGATTAGGAAATAAAGAAAAAATTGGGGGTGGAGGTCAAGTTCAGAAATGGCCTGTGCCAGGTAGAGATGGGCGTGGGCTGCCTGGAAGGACGGGGAGGGTCAGAGAGCAGGAACTTCCTCCTGCTTTTCCTTCCTCTTGAGACCCTCCTCAGCAAGAAACCCAGAGACATGTTCTCAGGGATTACAGACTCAACAGCCTCAGGACACAATCACTGAATGTCACACAGGAATGAGCCATGGTATCTGACCTGTCCACCTGACACAAAATCCAGAGAGAGAGAGAGAGAGAGAGAGGTCATCCTGTGCCCTTGAACCTTGAAGGAGGCTGTGAATTGGGCTTCCCCCCACACGCCTGCAGGGTCAGCTTTGTTCTCCACGTTACAGATGAGGGCACTGAGGCCCAGCAAGGTCCAAGGGCTTGTGAAGGTCACACGGGACCCGCAGAAACCAAGACTCAAACCCAGGCTGGTCTGACTCCCAGTCTAATGCCCGTAGGTGAATTGTTCTATCTTTGGTTCTGATTATTCTGAGGCACAGAGTGAATAACTGTCAGCCGAGGCTAAAAATATCTGTAGCTGTGTTGATTGACGGTACGAGCTCAGCGATGTACAAACACAGAATGATTCTATTTTTCTCAATAACTGATATCAGCTTTGCTCTGCTGGGGGAGTGCCCAACCCCATGAGCTGCAGGCTGAGAAGGAGGAGGAGGAGGAGGAGGAGGACAAAAACAAACTTGCCAAAGAGCAGCATCTTCATCCACTCTGACCATTTTCCTGGTCACGTTTCATATGTTAAAATAGTCACTTTCAAACTATTAAAAGTGCCATTGTCCTGTTCAAAGCCACCTCCTGCATAGCTCCTGGGAGCTCCAGCAACAAGGGTAGTTTTCTGCTGGTGAGTGACAGGCTGCCCCTCTGTTGGGGTCTGCACTTGCCCTGCAGGGTGCCACCACCTGTCTGCTAACTCTCCCCAAAGTGTCCTCCCCAGCTGGTCCCTAGCACTGCGAGAGACCAGACACCAGATCCTCATGTGGCATTGTGGGGGACCTTCCGACCCTGAGCCAATACCCTCTCCTTGACCTTCTGACATCAGGGGCCACCCCCACAGCAAGGCTTCTTGCTCTCCTCTCTTGTGCCCACTTTGGGAACAAGGGTGTGCCAGTTCCCATCGGGTGAACCCCACTCATTTTACAGAGAAGGGCATTCTGCTTCTATTAAAA